GGGAGCAACCTGCTCTAGTGGAAGGTGTCCCTGCCCGTGGCAGGGGTTGGAGCTGGAGGAGCTTTAAGGTCCCTTCAACCCAACCCAATCCATGATTGTATGACCCACGCAGTGGGGGTGCGGCTCCTTGGCTCAGAGTGGGAGCACATAGTGCATAGATTTGGAAGGGAAGACATCTATCTCTGGGCCCCTGTCCTGGCCACTCCTAGAGCAAGTGTCTCTGGGTGCAGCGCAGTGCTGTCAGGTGGAGGATGCTGTCCCTTATCTCACTTCGTGGATGGGCCCCTTGCCATAGCTCTGACGGTTGCCTCCAAGCCAGCTCTCCTAGTTCTCATGGGAGAGCTGATGGGACCTTGTCGGGGACATATGGAGAATGTTAAAACCAGAGCACAGTTTAAACTTTGAGGTTTTTAATGGCAGCCCTGTTGTCTGTTGTGAAAAATGGTTCTCCCTGTTGAAACAATACATGCAGCTGCCTTAGAGAAAAGCATCATTTGGGAGGGCACAACTGGCATTCATGTATTCATAAAAGGAAGACCACATCTGATAAATTTGGTGAATGCTCTCAGTACGTTACTGAATCAATAAACAAGGGACAAAATCAACTGGGAGATAATTTATCTGGATTTTCATAAAAGCTTTTAATCTTGGCCTGCAGAATAGATTGATCTGCAAAGACAAGAGTGAACGCTCTGGATTGATCGGTGGAGTCAGGCAGCACAGCAGAGGGGGAGAGGAAGGAAATTAATTAAAGATTGGCTCTGTACAAGGAACACTGATAGTCCAGAAACGGGGCTCCAGCACCCACAGGCTCTGGTTGAACCTGGGTGCTGTGATGGCTCGTGCAATTTCAGTTACCATCTGCAGAAAGTACTTGCTCTGCTTTGTAACTTGCAGGTGTTTGGAAAGGGCAGGTTGGGGCAGAGGTGTGGGTGCCCCTTTGTTGCTATGTTGGTGGAAGATCTTTCTGGGTTTTGGCTTTATACACGTGAGGGTGGGAATCATTTATCATGCAGATTCAACAGCCAGGAGCATGTAGTTTTTAACAGTACATTTTGCATGCAGTCATTGACATTGGCTGCTCATCAGCTGAGTAGGTAGAGCAAAACGTGTTCCAGGTGAGTGTGTTCTGCAGTGATTCACTGAAACTCATCCACGTGCATCTGCTGTGGGGGGTGGTGGCACATGGACCCCATGCAGGTTGTCTCTGTCAGCATGCCCACCACAGCCTCCCTGCAGGTCCTTTCTGAGCCTGCAGATGGGTGAGTTCTTGAGTGACAGAAAATAGCTGCCAAGTGCAGGCAGTGCATCACGTCAGTCCAGCGCAGTGCCCTCTTCACAGGAAAGGGGGTGAAGTCATTTTTCCATGTGGCTGTTCCATTTCCTCTTTAAATAAAACATCACAACGGGCACGTTTGTGCCCTGAACTAATTCACAGCTTTCTGCAAGGCGTAACCCCAGTCAGGGCTGGATGGATGGACAATACACCTGCTCTGATTGACATACTGTCCGCTGGTGATAAATGGGCAGTTTGGGTGTTTCTCCTCCCTTCAGGCTCCATGTGTCACTGTAGAGCAAATGAAGTGCTGTGAGATCTTAGGTAAAAAGCTGTGTTTCACTGTGGGTGAGGACTGGGAGGCTTAAATCTGTTCCCCTCAGCTGCCATTTGTGTGTGCAGACTTTGCAGTCACCTACATCATTGTGTCTTTTCAGAATGGAGAAGCATCCTTGTTTGAGGTGAACATCCGCTATGTTGGAGGACTGTTGGCCACATACTACTTAACTGGAGAAGAGGTTTGTTTCTACAGCTCTGCATCTCTCGACACAGTCACCAGTAATGAACTGAGAGGGTTCTCCAGCAGCTTTTCTCTGAGCATCAGATAATCCCTCCATAACAACAGGCCAAACCTGTCATTTTTCTCAATATCAATATGCCACTAATGTTGTTCCAATTAAGCCTCACATAATTACCTTGCACACACCGTGCATGGCTCATTGGCAAAGATATTTTCTCCTGTGGGTAATTCCAGCAGGACCCATTTTCAGCTGGATACAGTGTTCCCCAGTGAAATGCCATTTGCAATGATCATTGTCTTTGTCCTTGTCCCTTTGTATTCTAAACACAGGCAATATTTCATCTAGCATCATTCCACATTCTGCCTCAGACTAAGGAGGGCACCTGCTTAGTGGCAAGTGCTCCAAACACTACCTGGACAGTCTCTCTCCAGCAGTAACCCCTAAGACAAAGTGCCCTGGGCTGCAGGGAAGGGACCTGCATCCTGCCAACAGAGTGCTGCAGCAACACCCAGTGTCCCCTTCCCAGCAGCTGTGGGTGTCACAGACCCATCCTAGTGGAGCAGCCCTGCAGTGGATGCTCCCATTTCTCACTTCCACTTCCCTTCTTTCTTTCCAGCCTGGCAGAGGCCAGGGCTTAATGCTGTAATCTGTTTTACGATGTGCCTGGCCTGGAATTCTACAGCTGGCTGTAGAGAGATGAATGGGTTTTTCCTTTGCTCTGGAAGTCTTAGGCAAGCAGAAACTCTGATTCACGGGGGAGTTTTGTGAGTGAAGGAACTGGAAGACTGGCTCTTACATGAGAGCTTAGCTCCCATGCCATACACTCACCCTGGCTGGGTGTTGTCCACCATAATAGGCTGGGATGGTTCATCACTGATCCGTGGAATCACAGGAGAAGCTCTATTACTTCAGTTGCATTTTAAATGAGTTCCAGGAATGACTTCTTTCTGTGATTTCCCTCCAGGGAAAACTCAAAGACTCAGGGCCCCAGCACAGGGCTTGTCTTGGTCACACCTTCAACAGGCTTCAGATCAACAGAGCAAAAATAAACAGCATTAAACCATAGAACTCCAGCAGTGACCTCTTGAAGTGCCGTCAGCAGCGATGCTCATCAGCCAGGGCAGAGCCGGGCATATCCCCACTCAGTGTCACCAGACTGAAGGGCAAAATTCGTGTCCCAGTCTCTTGCTTTCCCTTCTGAACCAAACCCCTGTCTCCTTGGGAGCGTATCAGAGGTCTGCAGGCCCACAGGAGAGCTCAGATTTCCTCAGTGCTGTATTTTTAGAGCAATAAATTCCTCCTTTCTGTGAACTACTATGACAGCTTGGGCTGGTATGGGGGGGCTAGAGGTAGAAGGCTTGTGCTTTATCTCCTAAGTCACAGGCTTCCCTTGATCAGAACTAATCTCTGGAGCAAAGATTAGTGCTGGTATCAGTTTGTCCCAAAATAATTGTGTGTGGTAGCTTTGTGCTGCAAGCCACCATGAGCTGTAATTTGATTTGAAAGCCCAAAATTGAGACATTACAAATGGAAAAGGAGCAGCGTAACCGTGAAACCATGAATCCTTCCTGGAAAAGAGTTGCAAGTAAAGGATTGTTCATTGGAAACTGTGGGTTTTCCAACAGGAGATGACACAAACTGGGCAAACCCATGTTGTAAATCTTAACAGTGCTTCACTCTAAAAAGGTTTCTTTTGATGTTCATTCAGTCATTTCACCTCCCTGTGTCCTCTGCCACCTTGGGAAAAGGGAGGAATTTGTCCCCGAGGAGTACTCTTCGGATGAGTTCAGATCACAGAAGTCTGATGCTGAAGGACTGGGGTGTCCTGAGCTCTGAGTGCTCTCATCCAGGCTGAGGGTTTGGTAGAGGACAGGGCCTGCTCTAGTGGAGATTCTTAGAGGACACTCAGGTAGATAAAGTTCAGCGTGACTTTTGGTTCAGGTCTGTTGTGCAGTGGAACTAGGGCAGCAGCACACCGGAAACAGCAGATTGTTACAGTGCAGCAGGTTTAGGTTTGTATAATGGTGTGCTTGAAAAACTGGCTTTGAAAGAATCCAGCGTGACTGGTCTTCACAAGCAGCCCATCAGGTATTGATCCTCTCTTCTTCTTTTAACAGGTCTTCAAGAGTAAAGCTTTGGAACTTGGAGAGAAACTTCTGCCAGCTTTTAACACCCCCACGGGTATCCCACGTGGCGTCATAAATCTGGGCAGGCAAGACACGCGTCCTTACTACATGTCATTTTGTTTCTGAGTGTTTGTAAGAGACCAGGGTTCAAGCAGTAGTTCCTCAGAGGTGCCCCCCTCTAGTGCAGATTCTTTGAGGTCATTTGTTTTGCCAGCTCAAAGAGGTGCCCTGGCAGAGACTGCAGGTGACTCGAGTTAAACCCAGCTGTGGTTTAGTAATCTGGGGCTCTCTGCTGCTTCCTCCTCTACCTCCCTGCTGCAATAGCATCTTCCTCACTCTCATCTTCTTTGGAAGGTTATCTGTAGCCTGCACCTAGCATGCACGTAGCTCTGTATCTTTGCAGCGCGCCCAACTAGATGCATGTGAATTTATCCATGTTTGGAAATCTTGGGAAAGGAGCTGGATGGGACTGGCTGACAGTTTTGGTGCTGGAAGAGGGGGGACTATGCACATCCTCTAGTTTTCTCCTTGCTGCCAGCACTCAGCCAGTCATCTGCACTTGGAGCCAGAACGTTTCATGTCAGGTAGGTGGTGTTCTCCTGCTGGAGGGGACCTGTGGGTCAAATACCTCGCTGAAGGTCTCTGAGCAAACAGAGGCACACGTGGCGGCTGGACTCCCAGTCTCTGATTCTTGCCAGCAGACAGTGTTTCCTGCCAGTGAGGGCTCATTGCCTCATTTTGATGCCTAGAACACAAATCCCCCAGGGTAAAAGCTGCAGCAGAAACAGACGCAGTTGGAAATGTGGGTTAACAAAAGCCTTTCATCCTCACCTCTTGCAAAACTCTGAGCAGCAGCCATGAAAATCATTATTCATCTCTTAGCCCAACTCTCCTGTTTGGTTCGTGTCTCTCTGAAGTGCAAGACTTTCCGATTTGGCTCAGACTGCTCCATTGCAGAGATACCACTGACACCCTTCACTTGTCTTACCTGCACGTGAGCCTGGTAAAAACTGGAGCCACCACCACCACTTTAATTATTGCTTTTTACAGAAGAGGCTTTCTGCTTCCTCTGTGGCTGATAAAGACTCTGTGGCACAGACTAACCTTTCACAGAAATGCCAAACCTCCCCTGCCCTTTGTGGAGACAATTGAAACAGACTGTGCCTGCCTAGACATTCCCAAAATGTTTTGCTGATGACCTTGACTGAGAGCAAAGAAAAGCAGCACTGAGCCCACAGTCAGAACCCATATTACTGGCTTAAGCTCTGGCTTCAGGGCCATGAAACTGCTCTGAGGGCTCAGAGGATCAATTGATCAGGAGCAAGGATGAATCAGGCTGACTATTTCTGCTGACTGCTGCTACTAAATCTGTAGTCTGACTACTGCAGGAACATGATGAACAGCCAAAGGCTGTGAACCCAAAGGGGCAGGGAGTTACTCAGTGTGAGATTGCATGTGGAGGTGGCAGCAGAGCAGAGCGAGGTGATGCTGTGCAAGCAGATTGACCCGAATGTCGGGGTGAAACCAAAGCCCAGAAGAGTTTTGCAAGAAGGAATTCTCTCTCCAGTTCTACTTTTGCAAGGATGTGCTAATTCCAGAGAGACCTCACCAACCCAGGAGCAGGGGAGTCTTGCAGCATGTGTAGGTTTTTGGTGGTGTTAGCCTGGGGGAGGGGGGTGTTAAGAATGACATTCAGACATTTGAAACAAACAGAAGCTGGCGTTATGTCAATTCCTACACATTTTTGAGGCCCCAAGGACATAGACCCCCACCCCCCAGCTCTTCCCATAACTAACTGCCTTTATCTCTTCCTGTCACTTCACACCACCTTTTCCTCCTGTGTCCCCTTTCCGCTGATGTGCTTCCCTGTGGCCGCCTGTTTTCACACAGGCACCATATCATATCCCACAGAGGCTTGTTTTCCATCCTGCTGCTCCAATGCCACGCTGCCTGCCAGGGCCTGGAGTACATTGTCTTCTTAAGCTGCTGCTCTGTGCTCCCTGCCCTGTGTGCTGCTGCATGGTGACTTCTCTCCTGACGCCTCCCATTCTGGGCCCATGGTCCCTGCTTTCCTTCTCCTGCACCCTCCACACCTCCAGATTTTTCTTCATCATCCTCTCGTCGTCTCTCTCTTGACTTGGCTTTGGATCTCTGGGAGATGATACAACCCCATTTAGCAGCTTCCAGGTCCTGCCCATCTGAACCGGCTCAGAAGGCAGCTTCTGTTTGTGAGATGGTGTTTGTTGGAGTGTCCCTTCAGGGCAGTGTATAAAGCAAAAGTAATTGACTCTGTTGGATGGAACACGGGGGGATGGTTTCGCACCCCCAGCGGCTGCCCGGTTGTGTCCACTGTGATATTAAAGCCAGCATCAGTGTGGGCAGGCTGAAGGCTGCACGGGGAGGTTTGTGCCATAGACACTGCGTGTTGCTGGGGACCCGTTTCAGCTCCATACTGGGTTTTCAAATGAAAAGCTGCTGCTGCAGCCTCCTGACATTTCACAGGAAGGCTGACGTTGGGCAGTGACTGAGCAATTGGAAACAGTGTGAACATACTGCTGATCTAATGGCTTTTTTTTGTCTGGAGGCCAAGCAAACAGCTCTGGACCTGAAATGGTTTTCCATAGATCACATGGAGGGGAAGCTTTTTTCCCCCCCTCAGAAAGATCATTAGTTTTGGCCTCCTGTAAACAGCAGAAACCCTTTTCCTTCTATCAGACACGTCTCAGGCGCCATCTAGTGCTACCCCCCCCATCACTGGAAACGTGTTTCCTCATCAGTGTCAGCGGCAAATAGCACTCAGAGGTGTGAAAATGAAACCACTTCACTTCCGAGTCCTAAAACTGTGTGTATGTCCTTTCCGTGGTCCCTGTTGAGACATGGTACACACTGCAGGCTCATAGCAAGGGCAGGATCTGTGCTGGGGGGACCTCAGACTCTTTTTCCTCCAGTGAAGGTTCCCTTTTCTCTCCCTGCAGTGGCATGAGTTGGAGCTGGGGCTGGGCATCTGCTGGAAGCAGCATCTTGGCAGAATTTGGAACCTTGCACTTGGAATTCCTGCACCTCTCGGAGCTCTCTGGCAACCCCGTGTTTGCAGAAAAGGCAAGTACTTCCCAACTTGGTCTTTAGTGAGTTGGTCTCTTCATCATGCTGGGGTCTGTGCTGGAGCAGAGCAGCACCGTGCTCTGCCTGCAGCAGATGACGTGGAAGCAGAGTGTTCCTTCTCCCCAACACCAGCAGAGCTCACAGGAGGAGAAAGCTTCCAGGGTGAGACAGAGGTTCAGAAACCTGCGCCCTGCAGGCTACAGAGGTCTCCAGGCCCCAGAGCATCTCTGAGAAGGTGCCAGTGAGCTCCTGTTGTTGCCACACCAACAGGCCTTGGAAGGCAGCTGCCCCGGTGCTTCCTTTGGCTGTGTCCATTTGCTGTAGCCCCTTCTCAATCCCTTGCAGCCCCCGGGGAGATGGGGATGTCTTTTCCAGTGACTGTTGTGTGAAGTTGTAGCAAAACTCACTTAGACAAGGCCACAGCCAAAATGAAACCATCTGTTGGATGAACAGATGAGAGAGACTGCGAAGATAATTGTTAATTCTGATATCCCAACAGTAGTGCCTTGTACTTGCAGACCTCTGTGCTCTAAACAGGCATTAAATGTACACTCCAGCCAGCAAGAGTTCTGCTGAGGTTTCTTCTGTAGGGAGGGCTGGCAGTTGACATATTGGATTCCTTTTATGTAACTTGTAACTGAAAATCTATTAATATTATACATTACCTTGAGCTTTTTTTTCCTCAAGTGATCTTGTAGTGCATGTGAGAGCAACTTAATAAATATGCTGCTGAATACCAGCAAGCCATTAGCTTCTGCTGCACATCCCTGAGGAACCAGCTTTGTAGGAGACAAACTGTTCCAGTTAGAATCCAAATGTCCCCATGAGCCCAAAGGAAATGGGGCCTGTCCACAGTCCCACGAAAACAGACAGTGGTTCTAGGGATGCCAATAAAAAGCTGAAAGTGTCACTTTTCTAGGCTATGTCCAGTGCAGATGTGTCAGTTGTGAGAAAAGAAGAGGGTGTGACGAAAAGACGGGAAGGAAGAGAAGGAAGAAGCTGGGAGACCAAACTGGGGAATAGGTGGAGTGTATGGAAAGCAGGGTGGGGTAAGCAAGAGGAATGTCGCAGAGGGGTGAGCAGAAGAGGAAGGCAGGGGGTGAGGGAAAGCTAGAGACCGAGGGAACTCTGTAGGGGAGATAAAGACAGACTGGTGATTTGAAATGAAGGAGACAGGCTAAAGGTTCCTGAGAACAGGGATAATGAGAGACTGCTCAGAGGAAGGGGGAGCTGAGAAAAGACTAGCACAGGGAACGGTGATATGGAAAGAAAACGCGTGCGAAGGAAGTGAAGGGGCAGAGGGAAAAGGTGAGCTCTGGAATAGCAAGAGCGAGAAGATGCTCTGTTAAAAACTAGAATTGGATCCATGTTCTAGGGCCAAACTGTGGCATTTTGAGCCTTCCCGCTGCAGCCTCTGAGAGAACACAGAGGATGGTGTGGGCTCCATCGGCCCATCCCCTGGGAGACTGCTTCAGAGTTACAGATTAACTCATTAACTTGCAGCTTGGGACTTGTGTGATTTTAGCAGGAGTAAAGTCCATCTGTGTCTTTTATTCAAACATGTCGTTAATACGCCACGCTACTGGACTCCTGTAAATACTCTGCAGCACGAGGACTTACTTGGAAGCACCAGCTTGAGTCTGTAGCCAGCTTTTGGTGTACAAATTCTCTAATTCGATAAAAGGTTTAGAGTGTATTAGCTGCTCTGTGGATGATAATAGAATATTTATGCTGCTTACCATTTAACTTTGTCCCTTATGGGCAAGGCCTATTGGAGTTAATGGGGGTGAAGCCAAGGGAGGTTTTAGAGCTGTTCTAGCATATTAAAGGAGCTGTCTGTTATTGGAATTAAAGGCCCCAATTTATCGTGTTAAGTGACCACATGGTGAATTTAAGTACTATGTGAGTCACTCATCCCTTCCACTCCTTTCCTTTGGATCACAGAAAAAATCACATGCATTTCCACCCAGATCCCAGACCCTCAGGATTGCCTCTGGAGCACTGTTAGCGAGCTGTTCCCTCCACTTGCTGAACTGGGGCCTCACAGGGTTTGTAGAATCATTTCTAAAACCCCACAGAGCTGGACAAAGCTTGTGCTGAGAAGTCAAAGCTGCTGCTTCATTGCAGAGCCTTTTCACAGGGCTCTGCCTGTGTGAGGCCTCTCAGTGCTACAGGCTGCTGTGCTTGCTCAGCAGAGAAGTCACACAGTTCTTGTCTCTCATCTCTCCTAGGTGATGAACATCCGCAAGGTCCTGAACAGAGTTGAGAAGCCACAGGGCCTTTATCCCAACTTCCTCAGCCCAGTGACAGGGAACTGGGTGCAACGTAGGTATCACTCAGCGTTCAGACTCCTGCCAGGAGCATTTCAGTCTTTCCATTACTCTTTAGGAAGCAATAGCAACTGTCAGAGCTGCGCGCCAAGAAAATGTCTTGTCAGGCAGCCTGTTATACATATGATTAGATAACACAACCCCATATGTAAGATGCAATATAGTAATTGTACATTTATTCCATCAGACTTGTTTCCACCTGAGTGTCTCACCTCCAGAAAGAATTAGGGCCTTGCGTGGGGGAAGATAATGGTACGTGGTTCATCACACAGATATTACAAAGCAGCACATCTCTTTAAGACCTCATCCTGCAGGCATCACATAACCCACAGACCTACTTGGGAGTTGCATGTGAAGGCTGTGAGCAGAAACACTGTTAAGATTTCCTTCCCGAGTGTGCTGCAGCAAGTAAGGAACCACTGTGAGAGGCAGAGGGCTTACGGAGTCTCACATACCCCAAAGATCTAGGGATGCATCTCTTGTGTGCATCCGTGTACCTCTTACCGTGGTACCTCTGTGTAGTGCAGTTTGGTGCAAGGGTGCAACAAGTAGTATTCTCTCTTGTTGGGAACCCAGCACTGGCCAGCAGTGAAGACATGGGCATTAAATAGATGCTGCTCTGATATGAAAGAGGAGCAATAACTAGGAAAAGACTTGAAAAGAGCAAGGAAATACTAGAAGCAGTGTAACTAGGGATAGATTATTAACTTCCCTGCTCCACACACACAGACCCTTCCTTACCCAGAGAAGAGACTGTAGCTCTCTTATTGTGCTGCCGAAGGGCAGAAGCTTGCTTTCTGGTAGGCACATGAAAGGCTGCTTCTGCTGCTGTGCTCCACATCTCTGACCTCTCTGCTGGGGATTTGCTTGTTTTGGTTGCTGGATTTTCTGTTCCTCTGTCAAAGGAAAGAAAAGTCTTTTTTTGTTTTCTTGCAGAAGCTGTTTTTAACCTGTCAGTGGGTTATGTTTATCTTGTTTAAGCAGTTTTCTTTGAGTCATTGCATTACCTGGTGTTCCCATGTCTCTTGCCCTGTTTGCTCTGCTCCAGCCCTTTCTAAGTACTGTGCTAATGGCTCTGATTGTAGCTGACAGGCAGTTGCATGAGACAGAGTGGGAGCTCTACCCCTGAGCAGTCTCTGGCCTTTCACTACCACAGCAGCACCTCTAATGGTAATTGACAGGGCTTGGCTTGAGAGGTGTCCCAACAAAGCATCTTGAATGGTTGCAGTTGTCCCATTAAACCAGAGCTGTCCTTGATGCCATGAGGAAAGAAAACAGGCTTCTGCATTTGTCCCGTCACTGATGTTCAAAGTTACCCAGTCCCTTTGTAAGCAGTTTAGCCGCTCCTCGGCGCTGGTCTCTGCAGAGTTGCTGCAGCGTGTTCCACTTGGAAAGCAAATCCCCTGCACCCGGAGGTGCCGTTTTCCTTAGGTTATTCCCAGCTGGCAGCCACTGCCATTTTACCAGACACAGCTTTAGTTCTGCCTGTCCATGGCTGCTGAGAGTTCTCCCAGAGCTCCACGTCGTGAGGGCGGCTCATGGGGCAGGCTGTTTGTGGCAGTGGTTTATAATGTGGTCTTGTGGCCTGAATCCATATTCCAGTGAGGGAAAAGTCTGATCAGCCTCTTTTGCATGTCCAATGGTGAGAAAGAGATTAGGACCAAAGCAGGGAGGCAGCTGCAGCCTGCCAGAGATGTCCCCTGTAGGTGCCAGGCTCTCATTTTCTCTCTTGTCATTAAAGCTCTTTGCAGGAAGCCGTTTTTCTTGGAATTGCTGTGATTTTCTTAAAAGGTGTATCTTTGACCTGGCTGAATGAGCACATCTTCCAAATGAAGAGGCAGTGCTGCCCCTCTCCTGAGCGCAGTCCTTACCCGGAGAGAACTAAAGCACAGTCCCCTGCTGAAATCAGGAATTGGTTTATGCAGTGCCTTGGAGGCAAATGCTGGCAAAGCTGATGCCATATGGAAAACAATTATGTACCAGAGCTCCTGCTTTGGTGATTTTATGAATGACACACTTAGGATCACAGAGCTGCTCTGGAAAGACAGGCTGTGCAGCCCGTGTTTGCAAATAGTCTGTCCTCTGTTCTGTTCAATTCATGCATCTAATCTCGTTGTTTTGCTGTGGATTATTCCTGGATCATTGGACACACTGTATCAGCAATATTTGCTCTTCAGGTCAGGATGTCATGGCTGTTGATCTCTTCTTTTGGTAGGATTTAGCATTTAGAATAAGCCTCAGCACTTTATAAACATACAATGATAGGGAAGATACAAATCTGACCAGCTAACTCCAAACCCTGCTGCATCTGCTTCCTTGGCAAGGAGGATGCACACCCAGAGGTGGACACTGTTCCTTAGCAGGGATAGTTCATTCCGTGGTGGGTAATTCATCTTGCTCTTCTGAAAAGGGGAGGACTTGCCTGCTTAGAGGGCTGGATGCTGCCCTTCCCCTGTGGTATAGTTTACAGATAGAAATCAGCCAGCATTTTGCCCAGGCAGAACCCTGCAGCTGCTGTGCCCATTTCACAGTGCGGTTCTTTAGCATCCTCCTGGAAAGTCACAGCACTGTGTGCTCTCAGCAGATGGCCTTGAAAATCCCATCTCTGCAGAGGAAAATATTCAGGGCACATCCTCGGACCTGACTTTATCATTTTAATACGCCGACAACCCCAGCCTTCCCCAGGGCACAGAGTCCCACCGTGAGCCAGGAATACAAATGGCAGGATGGAGAAGTCCCTGCAGCAGCCCCTTGCTGGCAGCTCTGTGTGATCCAGCACGCTTTTTCCCTTTCCTGAGGCAGGGAGGCAGCACCCGGTGGCTTCCTAGAGGTAGAGATCTATCAATACCTGCCATTGCTTTTGGTTTATGGGGCTGGGATTTATGATGATTGCTTCATAAATAGGAAGCATCTTCAAGTTGCAGTATAAATAAGTTGCAAAGTAAGACCTCTGAATAGTTTTGGTAAGGGATACTAATGCTTTGTAAAATGACAGAACATTCTTCTTCTGATTGCACTTTCCACCTTTCTTCCTTTTTGAAAAAGAAATGCTGCGAGCTCTCCCCAGGAAACTGGAAAGAAGAAGGAGAGAACAAGGGCATTAAACAAGACATGGGTGGTTGGTCTTTGTAAAGCAACTGCTCATTGTATATCATGAAACTGAAGTTCTCTTGTGGCTTTCCCACTGCAGACCACGTCTCCATTGGGGGGCTTGGGGACAGCTTTTATGAATATCTCATCAAATCTTGGCTGATGTCAGACAAGAAGGACTCTGAAGCTAAAAAGATGTATGATGATGCACTAGAGGTAAGGAGCAAATCACTGCTCTGTTTTTTGGGGGAGGGGGACATCGGTCAAGGCCAAAATATCCTACATCTTTGGGTTTCTGTGGTATTTACTGCACTCCTATCCACTAAGTAAATACTTAGTAAGTGAGTTACTGTCCACTCAGTATCTTAAAATCCTGATTTTCATCCCTTTAGGCAATAGAAAAGCACTTGGTCAAAAAGTCTGCTGGAGGATTGACCTACATCGCTGAATGGAGGGGTGGTGTCTTGGATCACAAGATGGGCCACTTGGCTTGTTTCTCTGGGGGCATGATAGCCCTTGGAGCCGAACATGCTGCAGAAGAGAGGAAGCAGCATTACATGGATCTCGCTGCAGAAATAACAACCACATGTCATGAGTCTTACGCACGCTCAGGTAAACTTGTGGCTGCCTAGAAAGTGTTAGTAAGGGATCACCTACAGCCTTGGGAGGCTCAGCTTTTACGTGGCAGAGGTTTGGGTACAACATCCACATCCCTGTGTGTGGTTTTCACTTGTCTTTTCTGGGCTATCTAGAAGAGGAAGCAGCCTGGTTTACAGCTGGAGCAGAGGGACAGGCAGATGGGAGCTCCTGTGGCAGAGCTGGGAAGTTAACCCACAGCTGAATCCTAGTGCCACCTCCCAGTTCCAGAACTGGCCTTCTCCCAGCTAGACTGCAGTTTGAGTCTATCTTCTCACATCCCTTTGCAGATAAAAAGGGGAGATTAACAGATTAATTGCAAAGCATCCCACTCAATGGAGCAGAGCAGCTGAGAAGCCCAGCAGCAGAGTGTGGGAGACCTGCAGCTGCTGGTAGGAACAGAACAAACGAAGTTAGTCTCTCCTGCTGGTGAACAGAGGCTGCCTAAATCTTTCTATTTCCCAAGGCCTGGAAAATTAGTTTCACCACCCAGTGTGCTTATCAGTGAGGGCTTTGGGTGAGCAGTGACGTGATGAATGAGAGTCTGGGTTAGTTCTCTGCCTCCTGCAGAGGCTTTCAGCAGGGGGGGCTTGCTTTGGACACCGCTCCTTCCTTTGTAGGCATCTCTGCAGCTCTTCTGAGGCTGCAGGCAGCAAAGCAGCACTCTGCTTTCCAGGACCTTGTCAAGCACAGGTCTGTCTACTCAAACTGTTCCCAAAGGTTGGTTGACACCTTCAGCACATCAGCAAGTCCATACTGGCAGCCAGCGTCCAGCACGTTTGCCCAATAACCTAAAGCTAACCTGAAATGTTGCAAATAACTCTTTCTTTCCCCCCAGCACTTCCAGAACTAAAACAAGCCGCCCAAACTAATAACCCTCTGGCTGTGAGTGCCTGGAGCCAATTTTCACCTTCAGCAATATCCAGCAGCAGAGAGAGGACAGTAGCAAGCTGCCCACACTGGTGACAGTGCTGTCACTTCAGCAAGCTCCTTGTTTTACAGAGAATGTCTGTGCATGTCCCCCTGGGTCTCAGCAGATGGCCCAGCTCGGGAGCACTGTTAGATCCCCATGCAGACAGGAGCGCCCAGGGGAAGGTGTGCAACACAGCTGGAGAAAGAAAATGACTCCCTGAAACACAGCTTTGTGGTGGACACATGGGAACAGCAAGAGAAACACTGTGGCATGATCACAGTCATAGAACCACAGACTGGTTTGGGTTAGAAAGGATCTTAAGATCATCCAGTTCCAACCCCCTGCCACGGGCAGGGACACCTCACATTAGGCTGTGTCCCCCAAGGCTCTGTCCAGCCTGGCCTTGAACACTGCCAGGGATGGAGCATTTACCACTTCTTTGGGCACCCTGTGCCAGCGCCTCAGCACCCTCATAGTCAACCTCTATGCTCAGTTTCCCTGTTTTTCAGCCAGGGAGAGGGTTGGTGTTGGCAGTAGGGATCAGGGTGCTAGCTAATGCTTGCAGGAGATTGAGATTCTTATGTAAGAGCAGCTCCAAAAGACCAAGGCACTCTGAATGTTTTACTGATAAAATCCCAGTGAAACTGCTGAAGCCTCCCCCATCATCCTGACATCTTCCTTCTCAAAGAGGCTGCTTGTGGACCAGGGGAAAGGCAAGAAGTGCTTGCAGGTCCCAGGTGCCACTTCTTACAGCCTCCTTGGTGCAGTGCAGGCGGAAGAGCTCAGTCTGGTGGCCAGATAATCGTGAGACAACCCCCTGCCTGGGAGCAGTGATCAGTGTGACCTGTGTGATGGCAGGTCACCTGCATGGGTTTTCTTTGAATGTATTTTGTCTTTGAGGCTTTACAACAGGATCTGCCTCTCTGTTCTGTCTCATCTGGGTTCTGAGGTTGTCTTTAGTGACAAACTGCTCTCAGGGCCAGGGGCTGTGCAATTCCTAGGAGCAAATACCAGCCCAGCAGAAGTGCCAGGACATGGGGTAGATTTGTGCCTGCCCTCTGCATGCTCAAATCTGGTCCAAGTTTGTGGGTTTTTCCACCTTTGGAAACACTTCATCTTCACCTAGGTAGTACCCACATACCACAGCATGAGCAACGCCTGGCAGTGGGCACAGCTTGTGCGCTTTGTGGAGCTGCCCCCGGGTTGACATCAGCTTGAGGTTGATCTGATAGACAAGCATGACTGCTCTGCTCGCACAAGCCTTAAGTACACGTTGGCAGCCTGAGCAGTAGAAAAGCACGTGGAGAGCCTGTTTCCTTCTCCTCAAAGTGATTATTGCACGTGTGTGATTTTTGTCTAGATACCAAACTGGGCCCCGAAGCCTTTCGCTTTGATGCTGGAACTGAAGCCATGGCAACCAGGCTCAGCGAGCGCTACTACATCCTGCGGCCAGAGGTGGTGGAAAGCTACATGTACATGTGGAGGCTGACACACGATCCCAAGTACAGGCAGTGGGGCTGGGAGGTTGTGAAGGTATGGTTGGCATAACGCTTCCAGGCTGCTGGATTCTTACACTGCTCTTTCCTTTGGGGAGAAAAGAGCAGAACTTCAGTCGTGTTGGACACTAAGACAC